ACTTAGCTCCTGATATTGCTGCACAAGTTTCATAAGGATTTATATGAGACAGACTATATGATATAGTAATAAACCTGTAAGGAACCATGCAGGAATTCTTAAAGCTATTGACTTCGTGAGGAAACACTTGTCCCTTTCTTAGAATGTATGGTGCAACACTGCTGGAATCTAACAATTCTGCTGGGTTAGTGGCTAATAATGGGACTGGGGATGTACTCATTTTCTTGGCTAATGAAAAAAGAATAACTACCCGTCACGTGTTACAAATATTAAAAGGTTATAAACACCACCACAAACCACCCTTTTCCAACCATATGCTTGAACATGCGTTAGAAGTTAAGCATGCACTTTGATTAAGCAGGGCTGGACTCGGCCTAGATGTGAATGCTTATATAGCTGCATACTCTGTGGTGCGGCTGTGGATGAGAGAGACGGATTCTTGCTAAGTGGAGAGCTACAGCCTTGAAAAATCAGTGTCTAGACTTAAATATATCCATGTATGTTTTGCTGAATTGATATGCCAGGAGAGAGAGAGATCAGTCAGACCCTGCAGCTATCAGCAAGAGGTACTAGATGCCATCTCAAGGAACAGAAATAGAACTCTATTTAAAATAGCTATGGGGATGTGTTAAAGAGAAAATAGGTCATAATAAAAGAAGCATTTTACTGAAATTTAGGAAAAGCCATTAAATAAAGAGATCTGTGAAACTTTGAAATAGGTCTTAGTGAAGTGATGAAAGTTTCATGACTTGACACACTGAAAAGTAGACTTGGTGGTACACCCGGTACCACCACGCTGGTAAGTGGTGTAAGAGAGAAACCCAAGGAAGTCTTGATGGGTCTTAACCAACAAAATAAGAAAATGTCATCTTTTCCTGGTATGAAGCCATGGCTATCCATTTCCATTCAAACTGTCATGTACCCAGATATAACAAACATAGAATCTTCATAGATATTTTTTAAATACCAGAGGAAAAAAAAAAAAAAAGTCAGCAAAAGGTTTCTGTGGTGACTTTTTCCTATATGTAGGTAGATGGCACGCTAATACTGATCATTCATTTTGGGTTAAAAATCCCAGAGAAAAAAAAAAAAAAGTCAGCAAAAGGTTTCTGTGGTGACTTTTTCCTATATGTAGGTAGATGGCACGCTAATACTGATCATTCATTTTGGGGTTGAATTCTTTTGTTTTCAAATAGTTTGAGGTTCTATTTTTTGTGACGTTTTCCATTTTAAGAAAGTTATGCAAAGAATTGCTCATATACCTCCTACAGTTGGGCCCCAGGTTGTTTAGGGTGAACATTGGAAGTTTGGACCCTGAATATCTGTTCTTAATTAACTTTCTCTTGACTGCAATTTGAGTTTGCGATGCATGATTGCAAAATAAATCCCTCAGTGCTGGAACTAATTTTTTTGACAGTTTTAACTGAGAAATGGTTTAGTCTAATAGTTTGGAGTCTTACTCTTGAGTCTGTATTTTGTCCTTAAAAGAGCATGTAGACTCTTAGGTAATATCCCCATGATTTTAAGTGACTTGACTTAATGTGTTTATTAGCAAGGACTGTCCTTGAGTAAAAGCCCTGATTTAACATTGATAGTAGTTCAGGCAATGCACTCAAAGCGCATACGTACGTGATAAGTTACCATGTTTTAGCAGAAATGAATTGACTTACAAAGGAGCAGTTCTTTCTTAAAACACACCACTCAGTTGCTTATGTGCTTTATAGCACATGCCCTCAATTATTGTCTATATCCATCTTCCTCCAGAGGTGTGACTTTTGGATGCTGCAGTGTAAGTTTGAGCTTAGGCTGTTGTACTGAGTTTAGCTGTCAGTAGGATTCCACTGAGTGCTTTCCCCATTGTAGCTCTTCTTCAGAAAATTGCTACTTCCCTGCTGTGCATTGTGCACTTAGGGGCTGCCCAGCTTCTGCTGTGCGTTTTGAAGGAGGCAGGTGACAGACTTCCCTTCCTCTGGCACAGAGTCACCCAGAGGATATGCAGTCGGGGTCTACTTCCAGTTTTCGAGGGAGTAACCCCAACACTTACTTTTTATGTAGATCAATAAAGGTTTGAAGATGTCTCCTGGGCATGCATTGACAGATAACAGCAACTGAAAGACAAATATTCTTTTGTACAGTTGTTTATGGAATTCAGTGTATTAGGGGATCACATACTACTTGAACATGCAATACAAGAGTTGTGTAACTTTCTGACCCATAATTATGTAGGTAGATATGAAAGTGTAAACAACAGAGCCAGTCAAGAGTCATGCTTCACAGTATTATTGTACCATTTGAGGAGGCACAGCAGCAAGGTATGCAGAGGCTAAGAGACCCTCTTTTCTTTCCCTGCAGAATCACAGAATGGCCCAGGTTGGAAGGGACCTCTGGGGATCATCTAGTCCAACCCCCCTGCTCAAGCAGGGTCCTCTAGAGCATATTCCCCAGGATCGTTTCCAGGCAGGTTTTGAGTATCTCCAGGGAAGGAGACTCCACAGCCTCTCTGGGCAACCTGTTCCAGTGCTCAGTCACCCTCACAGTCAAGAAGTTTTTCCTCGTGTTCAGATGGAACTGCCTGTGTTTCA